GAATTTGGCCAGACACTGAAGTGCACACCTGTAATACTAGGTACCTGAGAAGCTGAGGCAGGAAGATGGTAAGTTGGAGGCCAATCTGGACAGCTTAGGGAGCCCCTATCTGAAAAGTAAGAAATGCTAGAGGTGTAGCGCAGGGTTCTCTGGGTCTAATCTTCAGGGGAGAGAGAGAATATGAACATTAAAATGACAATAAATATGAATACAAATATGAATATGAATATGAATGAGAAAGAAGAGTTTGCCAAATGCTGGCCAGGCCTGTTAAATGCCCCGTTATAATGCTGGAAATATTGGAAGACACCCGTTTGTCTTAGTAATTTCTTTGTTCACCGAGGCTCCCCCCTGGCATTTAGAATTGGTGAGAGCACCAAAAAAGGGTCTTCTCTTCACTTATGTAACTTTTAAACCTTGGATATTCTTTTCTTTTCTATATTTTTCAGCATTTCAAATGCAAACACTAAAATGAGAAAATTAATTTTTAAAATTACAAGCTGGGAATGGAGCTCAGAGGGAGAGTGCTTGCCTAGCATGTGCAAGGCCCTGGGTTCAACTCCTAGTACAAGAAAGAAAGGAAAGAAGAAAGAAAGAAAGAAAGAAAGAAAGAAAGAAAGAAAGAAAGAAAGAAAGAAAGAAAAAGAAAGGGAGAGAGAGAGAAGGAGGGAAGAAGGAAGGAAGGAAAGAAGAGAGAAAGAGGAAGGGAAGGAGGGAAGGAAGGGAGGAAGGAAGGAAAAGTCCAATGTGGGCCCTGGAAGGTGTGATCCTGGCTCTCTATCCTGACTGTGGGATAAGAGGCTGCACTCTGACATCTAACAGGAGCCCGGAGGCCACGCACTGCCCTGGCCTGCGCTCCCACTCAGAAGCACACTTTCCAAAGCCCTTGCTCGCCTCCTTTCACACCATGCGATTTCTCTGAATGGGAGGGCTTCTACTCTCATTTCTCTGATTGGTAATAGCGCAACCACTGACCCCCTCTAGTCCAGGACCTTTATTCAGTCTGTTTTTGTACCCAGCTGGGTCCCCTTTGATGGGGTCCGTTTGGTATTTGCAGCTCTTTCCTAAGAAGTCTAGAAAACAACCATCTAGGCTGTTTCTCTTTGATTTGGTCTAGAACTAAGTGTGAGATTTCCAAGTGGAAAATGAACACCTACTCAAAGAATCTTTCATTTCACATCGTCCCGAATATTTTCTGAGTGACTGATCCAAATTCAGTTTATCTTCTAGACATTTTTCTGATTTTGCTCATTTAATATTTATTTGCATACGTATTATTTATGTGGTGCTGGGGATTGAACTCAAGGTCTGCCACACACACCCACTCTACCTGGAATTTACACTATTTTTCTCACATGCTCATTTCTTTGACGAGGTCTTGAGAGCACACCCTCTGGGCCTACGGCCAAAACTGCAGCAGGTCCGCACCCTGGTGGAGTCTGCCAGCTCAACCTCATCAAACCAGCACCTTTGCCAAAACAGAAGATGACACTTTACTGCCCTGAAATGAAATTCTCAGGTAAGATTGCCTCACCCACACATGTGATTTCAAAATAAATCAGCATACATCCTAAAGCATATTATAAAAGAGCAGGCAGCCTTTCCCTTCTTTGAGCAAAAGAATTATTTTGGCTTCTGATTTCAGAGGGATGCTTTATAATAAACTGATGGGTTTGCAAGAGATGACCACCCATTTATACTAAGAAGTGACAAGCGTCAAAGCATGCCTGACCCCACTCACGGAATGCCCACAACCCAGCTCAATGTGACTAATGAAATGTCTTCGATGTTTTCCAAA